GTGTGTGTGTGTGTGTGTGTGTGTGTGTGTGTGTGTGTGTGTGTGTGTGTGTGTGTGTGTGTGTGTGTGTGTGTGTGTGTGTGTGTGTGTGTGTGTGTGTGTGTGTGTGTGTGTGTGTGTGTGTGTGTGTGTGTGTGTGTGTGTGTGTGTGTGTGTGTGTGTGTGTGTGTGTGTGTGTGTGTGTGTGTGTGTGTGTGTGTGTGTGTGTGTGTGTGTGTGTGTGTGTGTGTGTGTGTGTGTGTGTGTGTGTGTGTGTGTGTGTGTGTGTGTGTGTGTGTGTGTGTGTGTGTGTGTGTGTGTGTGTGTGTGTGTGTGTGTGTGTGTGTGTGTGTGTGTGTGTGTGTGTGTGTGTGTGTGCTGTGTGTGGTCCCAGTGGTACCCTGAGGTGAGGCACCACTGCCCCAACACCCCCATCATCCTGGTGGGCACCAAGCTGGATCTGCGAGATGACAAGGACACCATCGAGAGGCTGAGGGACAAGAAGCTGTCCCCCATCACCTACCCCCAGGGCCTGGCCATGGCCCGAGAGATTGGTGAGGCTGTGTGTAGTCATTTATACAAGCCGTGCAACAAAATGATTTTTAACAAAGGGAGCGAGTTAGGTTAAATGGGGAATCAAAAATGAGCTGGCGACACGTGTTCTGGTGCGGTGGACGCAGGTTTGAATCCGCCCTGCAGTCCCTACTTAACCTTTATGAACATGAAGTTCCTGAGTCAGGTCAGGGTTAGCCTAGCTTAGCACAAAGACTGCAAGCAGAGGAAAACCGCTCCATCACAGAAAATCACAGTTTGGTTTGAGTGAGGATTCTGTGTTGGCACTTTAGCCAGATACACTGGAAGTACTAAATAATGGATCATATACTTAATGTTTATTATGAGCTTTAGAGGTAGTATTCTTTTCAAGTAAGTCTTTGCTTTACTTAATAATAGATAAATAAAAGCAAAACAAATAAGTCTAATGCATTCCAATTCTTCATGATAACTTCTTTGTTTGAAGCCAAATATACTTTTGTATTCATTGCCTTACTGTTGATCAACTTCCCAAGCATACCAAAGCAATGCACCCCCCATGCTTGAGGCGGGGCAGGGGCAGCCTGCACCATACCCCCTCCCTGATTTTTGTCCTTTTTTTTGCAATGCAATGCATCCTACATTAAGAATGCACATTTTCAATCTTTTCCTGAATGCATTCATGGTGTTTTTCTCTAAATGAGATGTTATTGTAACATATGAAAGTGATTTGTGGTCACATCCCTTCAATTCCAATGTGGAAAAGGTGTGGGGTCCGGAGGTTTCAAGGGTGATGGCAGATTGAGGTATTTTTACCTGTCTTAAAGCACCAGACGTAGTTTCACTCACTGAGAACTATCCTTCCCATCATGCCCTCCTCCTCCTCCTTTAGGTGCTGTGAAGTACCTGGAGTGCTCTGCGCTGACTCAGCGAGGCCTGAAGACGGTTTTCGACGAGGCCATCCGAGCCGTGCTCTGCCCCCCGCCCGTGAAGAAGAGGGGGAAGAGGTGCACCATGTTCTGAGGAGGGGCTTCAACACTACACTACATCACCATGAACAACAACCACTACTTCTCTGAGAGGATGAGAGGAAACTAGCGAGAGTGAGTGTGCACTGCTGAGATTGCTTTCTTTATATTGATGTTTTTTCAGAGTGATATTGGCAACAAGACCAATATTTAATCCAATTTTTTTACCATAACTGAATGGGCTCATAGGTTCTCAGTGACTGTCCACATACTTTGTACTCATAGAAACACACACGCTGCCATGAGGGCTGACTACGGTTTCTCTTACTGTCTTCATACTGCCTCATCTCTTCTTTTTCAGCCATGCTTGCTTGAATTAATGCAGTGTTGACTAGATAGAAAGTGTACTATGACACGCCTTCAGGTCTGAAGTTACCCTCAGCTCCTGATCCAAGATCAGCATGTGGAGACTAAATGGCATGCACACAGAAATCTGTTGCTAGGACAGTCAAACAAGATACTACTGCCTGCATTCACTCAATCTCACAAATAGAGCATGGTGTCTTAAATGTAAATAATGTGGTAGAAGAATTGAGAGTGATGAGTTAAAGGGAATTCAGTTTTATTCTAACCTGGGTTTTATTTTTGTAGTTTTGGCCTCAGTCCATCAGTATAAACGCAAATAAATTGATTTAAAAACACACAATGTGAACAGTTAAAAACACAATAAAGTGCTTTAAGCAACTTGTTATTAATCCTGTTTTTCACAATCTAATTTAAAGCTTTTATTTTTGAGATTTGCGCTAATATGTTGAATTTTGTCAAATCAGTGTATTTCACTAAATGACCACACAGATACTCTTGGCCGGGTGTTCTGGAGATGAGCTGTTACACTGGAGAACATGTTTTGTTTCTTTCCCATCTCAGTAATTGCAATGTAATGCATACTGATAGGAATGACAGCCTAAACAATGCTCCTATAGAAGTCAAATATGGAAGTGACCTAGCTTGCATAAAAAAACCTCTGAACTCATCACTCTTTTTTTGGTTTTCTCATTTCCTCAAGCCCACCTTCCTAAGCTTACTTTACGTTTGAGTTGAAAGTCTCGTACTTGACCTTGTGTTTAGTACTTTGACAACATAATTCCTCAAGGTTCACTTAATTGGTGTTTCCGGAGCTTCCTGCCTCACCTTGTTGCCTGAGCAGCCACATCATTTGCTCAAAAGACGGCTTTGAGATGTGACTGGTAAAACTTCTGAATCTTATCAACTAATAATCACAGGTTAAGCCAAGGGGATGAAGGCTCTGGAAAAAGAGTGAACCTTGAGTTGAAATAATTTTGTCAAATGATCTGACACAAAACATCCTTAGCCAAACCTTTCTCTGCCGGCATCGATCTGCGCTGTCCTTTTAGGATGAAAATAAAATGTGAATTTCTTTCTCTGGACCAACATGTGATCTGAGTCAAGTGTCTTTGGGTAACTTCATCTAACTGTGAACACGTGACAGACGAGCATGCCAAACATGGGGGCTGAACAACCTCGCTGCCTGACTCCTGCCTCCGGGGGCGGAGGAGCTTGCATGGGTCTTAAAATATTCTGTCTTAATTTATCCCATCGTTTAAATCTCCTCTCTGTTCCTGTGTGTGTGCGTGTGTGTGTGGGTGAGTGCGTCACAGGCGTGTAAATAAACACTTGTGTGTGTGTGTGTGAGCACGCGTCGTGTCAGTGAGACAGCTTTGGTGGGGGTAGTGCATAAAGACAGTATTGTTTAAGCCAAGTTTTTTAGTGTCCAGTTTTTGGTACTATTTCATATTGTATTGTAGTAATACACAAGACTTTCAACAATCTGTGGGCATAAAGAAAGAAAAAATGGATATTAACGACATCTAGCGATGTACAGAATAATCCTTAGAAAAAGGAATGCGTTATGAATATATATCTACATGTACCTGAATATTTAGCTCTTGAAACTAAAACAATTGAAACTAAAGGGATTATAGTCGCTTGTGTTGAAGTTAGAAGTGTTGCTAACAGTGTACAATAAAGGGGCCAATCTCTGTAGTGTCGCCTTTATGAAATGCATTTCTGTTCCGGCCTGCGTGTGTCTGTCTCCCCCCCGCGGGGAGACGCAGCACTGCAGCCAATCTGTCATGCTGTCTTTGGTTGGCATAGCAATCTGTGGTTGACTCATGTTGTGTGGTCCTGCTAGCTGAAGGTGTTGAAATGTAGATGAGAAACGCAGCAAAAAAGTCTAAAATCTACTATTGCATGGAAGTTCTCTGGTTATTTGACCCACTGTAATTCTTAGGAGAGGCTGTATAATGAGATGCATTGGCCATGTATGTATGTAATGTAAGATGACTTGTATACTTGTCCCAACTGTCTGTCTTATTTTTTATTACTTCACATGTCTGTGTGGTGGAATATTTCAATTTTTTGTATACTAAATACAAATGTATATGTAAGGCACTCTGCAGTCTGTCGTCATTTGTTCCTCACTTTACATCCAGTAATAATATGTACATGAAAGCAACCGAATGAAGGTAAGTGGTGCAAATACAACCAATGAGAACATGGTAAATAAACAAACGCACATAGAGCTCACAATAAAAGTAGCCTGGTAGTAGCCTATCATTTGAGTCAATAATACATTGTTTTTAGTGATTCATAATTTCATTATGCAGAATAACCATTTCTGAATAATATATATTACGTTCTGGATTATAGAATAATGATTAAATATGTGAAAACGGTTTTAATCTATCAACTGGTGAAGGTGGAGCTAACTTCAATAAATGATATGAACATGCAAAGTGATAGTAACTCATCGTGTCAAATAACTGAAGTAAGAATTCCATATTGTTTCCTAATTGCAGTGGAGTAGAAGTATGAAGTAGCATAAGACAGACAATTCAATCTATTAGTCCATCAATAATAAAATAACTTATCAACTTTGATAATCACCTTCTATTTAAAAACGTTTTAAAGCCAAATGAACAAACATGTTCTGGTTCCTTCTGCTTTTCTGTTGCTGATGTGATGTTAGAGCCTTCCCTACAACAGACACAACCTGGAGCTAAAGGAAATAGTACGTCTTTACAACATCAATTACATTTAATCAATTGATAAGTCCAGAAAATAAGAAATCGGCTTTTGTCAGGCATTTCTGATGATACATGCTGTATCTTTGAGTTGAAGTGAATTCTGGCAATGATCATATTTTGTCTCCTGAACACGGTTGGGAAACACTCAATACAATGTGTCACTTTTAAACAAAATGACATGAATGTATTTGATGTGAAGATGATGAAATCCCTGTAAGTCACCACCATGAAAGAAGGGTTAACCTTAATATACAGCTGTAGTCAAATGTCCATTATCTTTTTAAATGAATGCCTCCAAACTCAATCATGAAAAATCTTAGGCAGTAAAAGCAGACTTAGACTTGTTCATAATACTTACAAGAACAGAAAATAAACATGAGCCAATATTAAATAGACATAAGCACAAAGAAGTAGAAAGGTTTGAGGGTGGTTGTATTTTATTTGTTAAACAAAATGATTTAAAAGCTATACTTGTTGTCCTCCTCTGAGCGAGGGGCCGATGTGCTGGCTCAGCAGGCCAGGAAGCCCCCGTCCACCGGCAGAGAGACCCCGCTCGTCATGCTGCTCTTATCACTGAGCAGGAACAGAATACTGTTCACCACGTCATCCACCTCTGACCACAGGGGACACACGGAGGAGAAGGAGAACACATTCAGGTTTCACTCTGTTAATAAAGGTACAGTTCAAATGCCCACATGCATTAATGGAGAGGTGTCAGAGTGAAGGGGTTGCTATGGTAATGTGCTCTGGAGCAGTATATATGTTTGGTCCGTGCAGGGACACAAGCCCCTACAGACTGAGCTGCCCACATGTATGAACCCAGTGCTCTATACACTGCATCATTGCACCTGACAATAAGATTTGTTTTAGATTAAATTGCATTCATGAAAATCAGAATAGTGCAGGTCAGTCTTTGAGTCCATCAGTGAGAACACGCTACACGTCATCACAAAGAATGTGAATGCAGCTCTCGCTCCACTTATATATAATGGGGAGGCTGAATCCACATTCCTGAATCTGAATTGACCATCAGCCTCCCACCCTGGTATCCTGGTATGACCTCTGGGAAGAGCCCCCCCCCCCCCCCCATGTGTCTTTTGTAAAGAGGAGAATAACCTCAACTTCAAATAGTAGTCCATCATTTTTTAAATGCCTTTTTGCTTCCATTTTGAGAGTGAGATGAGAAGATGGAATGTGTCCAAAGCTGGGGGTTGAGATGGGGTTAGCTTAGCTTAGCATAAAGACTGAATGTACTGATACACGTTGTATCTGTCTGTTTGATAGGGAGGTGTTTTAAACGTTTGACAGAGCAGGCCCTGACTCCAGATCTGTCCTTAACATACAAACATGCTCCGATTTACTTTTGTTTATTTATGATGAGAGAGAATACAAAATAATTGTAGACTTATTCCCCTCATTGTCCCTAATGTTTACACAACATGACAATGCCTGATATATTAACACTAAGACGCATTAGAAAATAAGAACACAAACTACAAAACTCAATCCTCTGAACAATAATTAATTAATGTACTACTAATTTACTCAGTACTTTCCAAAATGTGCTCCATAGTGACAAATGAATACATTAACACTCATATGTATTTTCTAATGATAACAACAGAATTATTTAATATGTTATAACGATACAACACTTATACAAAAGGCATTCTGCACAATGAGTACATTTGGCTGATACTACTTTGGTACTTTTACCAAAACAACATCTTGAACTCAGGACTTTTACTTGTATTTTAAGGCTGTTATATAGTACTTTTACTCAAGTAGGGAATCTGAGTGTGTATCGTATAATCATGCTGTCATTTACACCCAGCCGCTGGTCTCTAACCTGCGAAGCGGCCCAGGGGGATTCTGGACATCATGGTCTTGGATTTCTCTGGGTCGCTCCAGCCCAGCCGCCCCATGTCCGTCATCACCACTGTGGGGTTCACACTGTTCACACGGATCTGAACACAACACATTCAATCAGAAACATCGTTAAAAACGTATCATCAACACCAGAGACAAATGAAAAGGATTTAACCGTACTTATTTCATATTCTTCATTAATAACCCGTAACCTGTCACTGGACTGTCATTATGAAACAGACACTATGAAAGGCTTGTTTACAATTTAAGAGAAGCATAGGAATAAAATAAGTTACACACACATCAAGTGCAGAATAAATGTCATACAGGGGCTTCTTTCATGAATGATACATCTAATGAACTCAAAAACATTCTAGTGATGTGTTGGTGTGAGTTGACCTGGTGGGGGCCCAGCTCCAGAGCCATCACTTTAGTCAGCATGTCCAGAGCTGCTTTAGAGGCACCTGGACAACGACAGGAAACAGAGACAACAGGACGTTTACTGACCTGCAGAAGCCCCTTCCTCTTCTTATACAAGTTAACACAGGACTGACACCATATGCCTGTATGTGTAGCGGATAGCAGGGTCATTTACAGAGAAAGATCTTTCATTTTATATGTACACATTTTTTTCAAAAGAACATCTTGTGTAAACCTACTTGGCCTTAATCTGATTCTGAATTATGTTTAGCAGTTTATCCACTACTGAAAGCTATTGATTCAATCAGTGACCAGATGAAAGAATTGATCCTAACTGTACTGAACGCCTCTATCAGCTACTTGGATTTAAGACCTGAACTCTTCCTCTATCGAGCGGCCCCCTGCAGGTCCACAGCTCTGGACTCACAGTAGAGGGTGTGCTCTCTGAGGGCGCGTTGCGACGCCTGGCTCGACACGTTCACGATGGAGCCTCCGGACCCTCGGGCCCTCATACCCCGGACCACCATCTGACCACAGAGACACACTCTGTTTCAACTGGAGCACACATCCCAACACAAAGGGAATAAAACAGTATGCTGTGGATGTTTTTTTATAAAGGGAAACTTATTGTAGTTGAGACCAAAAGGGCTATAACTCTTACTCCCCGAGTTGTTAGGGCTCTCACATTTTACACATATTTGTCTACTACATATAGCAAGCAATGTTTACAATTTCTCCGGCTTAAAACAATTAATATATTAAAGCCAAATATAAGGAGTTCCATTGTGACAAACTGCCCCTTGTAAATTGATACATATAAAACTCAAGAAGAAATGTATTCTAAAACGTATGCACTATGTGTTCATTCAGTGTGTGTATATATATATATATATATATATATATATATATATATATATATATATATATATATATATACAGTGGGGCAAACAAGTATTTAGTCAGCCACCAATTGTGCAAGTTCTCCCACTTAAAAAGATGAAAGAGGCATGTAATTTTCATCCTAGGTACACTTCAACTATGAGAGACAGAATGGGGGGAAAGAATCCAGGAAATCACATTGTAGGATTTTTATGAATTAATTGGTAAATTCCTCGGTAAAATAAGTATTTGGTCACCTACAAACAAACAAGATTTCTGGCTCTCACAGACCTGTAACTTCTTCTTTAAGAGCCTCCTCTGTCCTCCACTTGTTAACTGTATTAATGGCACCTGTTTGAACTCGTTATCAGTATAAAAGACACCTGTCCACAACCTCAAACAGTCACACTCCAAACTCCACTATGGCCAAGACCAAAGAGCTGTCAAAGGACACCAGAAACACAATTGTAGACCTGCACCAGGCTGGGAAGACTGAATCTGCAATAGGTAAGCAGCTTGGTGTGAAGAAATCAACTGTGGGAGCAATTATTAGAAAATGGAAGACATACAAGACCACTGATAATCTCCCTCCATCTGGGGCTCCACGCAAGATCTCACCCCGTGGGGTCAAAGTGATCACAAGAACGGTGAGCAAAAATCCCAGAACCACACGGGGGGACCTAGTCAATGACCTGCAGAGAGCTGGGACCAAAGTAACAAAGGCTACCATCAGTAACACACTACGCCTCCAGGGACTCAAATCCTGCAGTGCCAGACGTGTCCCCCTGCTTAAGCCAGTACATGTCCAGGCCCGTCTGAAGTTTGCTAGAGAGCATTTAGATGATCCAGAAGAGGATTGAGAGAATGTCATAGGGTCAGATGAAACCAAAATAGAACTTTTTGGTAAAAACTCAACTAGACGTGTTTGGAAGAGAAAGAATGCTGAGTTGCATCCAAAGAACACCATACCTACTGTGAAACATGGGGGTGGAAACATCATGCTTTGGGGCTGTTTTCTGCAAAGGGACCAGGACCACTGATCCGTGTAAAGGAAAGAATGAATGGGGCCATGTATCGTGAGATTTTGAGTGACAACCTCCTTCCATCAGCAAGGGCATTGAAGATGAAACGTGGCTGAGTCTTTCAGCATGACAATGATCCCAAACACACCGCCCGGGCAACGAAGGAGTGGCTTCGTAAGAAGCATTTCAAGGTCCTGGAGTGGCCTAGCCAGTCTCCAGATCTCAACCCCATAGAAAATCTTTGGAGGGAGTTGAAAGTCTGTGTTGCCCAGCAACAGCCCCAAAACATCACTGCTCTAGAGGAGATCTGCATGGAGGAATGGGCCAAAATACCAGCAACAGTGTGTGAAAACCTTGTGAAGACTTACAGAAAACGTTTGACCTCTGTCATTGCCAACAAAGGGTATATAACAAAGTATTGAGATTAACTTTTGTTATTGACCAAATACTTATTTTCCACCATAATTTGCAAATAAATTCTTTAAAAATGTGATTTTCTGGATTTTTGTTTCTCATTCTGTCTCTCATAGTTGAGGTATACCTAGGATGAAAATTACAGGCCTCTCTCATCTTTTTAAGTGGGAGAACTTGCACAATTGGTGGCTGACTAAATACTTGTTTGCCGCACTGTATATACACACACACTGTATATACACTGTATATATACTCATATGCATACGAGCTGTGTATCAGCAGCCAGGTCCGATATTAGCGTGATAAGGTGAAATTCTCACATTTCACCTAAGGAACTACTCTCCAACCTTGTAAAAATTACATCGTTCTTACTTCAACCGAACCAGTTTTAATTATAAAAGTAGAAACTTGGTCCAACACATTACTTTCATAGCTAAAAATCAATGATTAATCTGCTAAATCTGTTCTCTTCTAGACATTTCACATACAGTCAGCAGAAAGTGGTCATACTGATCTCATGACTAAGAGTATCCCTGCCTGGTGAAGTGCTGCTGTTAGAGCCAGCCTTTCCAAAACATGCACTTTCCCCGAAACACAAACCTAAGTTAACAATTAATGTTAAGATCAGCAAAACATGTACTTAGTAGAGAGCACAAAAGAACAGAAAGGAGCCTAGAATGCGGGACATGCAGGTGTAGTGATGAGGATTTAAGGTATTATTGTACCTGGGAGACATGCAGCACCGCTTTCACGTTCACATCGAAGGTCCTGGGGATGAAAGACACCTTACAACAGAACGAACAGAACAGGCTGTGCTCTGTCTGCAGCTTCCTAGTTGCAAATCACTAAAGGCACAGTTCAGCACCAAAGCATGAATGCATATTTTCCTCTTAGAGTTAGTTTCATCTCACTGTCACGAGCATGAGCTTCTCTCCATGAGTAGATGCATGCTAACATCTGCACGGTGATAGTGTAGAAAGGAAATTATTGCAGTAATCTTAAACAAAGTGCCGCGAGGGACTAAACAAGAGAAAAAACACTGTGGATGCGCAAAAACTCAGTCTTTCCAACACAGTATGCGTTTGACCTTTTATTTCCAAAGCAAAAATGCAATATTCCATATCCATATACGTATATCCTTGTATGCGTGCATGCGTGTGTGCGGTCAACAAAAATTGTCCTTCTCTAGCTCACTCCCCCATCTATTACAAAGTGCGCAGGTAAAAGCAACCGGATATAAGCACAAACGTCACCACACAAATCCAATGACACGCCCACCACCTATAGTGACTCAAAAAACATGTATCGTAACAAACACAGAAATGGCTTCATATGTGGCTCCTACATTCCGGCCCCTAATTATATCAACATAATAATTAATTACACAACTGAAAAATGATGTAGGAGACAATCAAGGAAAAAACTTTTAAGGATAAAAACATCCTTTGTTAAAGTGTCCTTTTCTTCTTTAGGCAAAAAATAGAAAATAAAATAAAAAATATATAGTTTGTTAGCCTATGAAGGAGTGATCTTTACTATCACTTAATAAAAAGTCGGAAAAAACGTCAATGTCAAGGTCTATGAAGTTCACTAATTTCCTCACGGCTCTTCTGCTTCCTGTAGAAGGCAGATCTTTGTGATAGGCCTGTCCAGATAGCTAGTTTTTGTCTTCACTCGCACCTGACGTACAAGTCCTCTTCTGTCTGGAATGGTTTGTACAATCCTTCCTGTAAGCCATGAATTGCGAGGTGCTGAGTCATCGACTATGAGCACAATATCTCCTGGTATGAAGTGGCGCTTGACATTTGACCACTTCTGTCGTTCCTGGAGTAGAGGCAAATACTCCTTAATCCATCTTTTCCAAAACAAGTCTGAGATGTACTGAACTTGTTTCCATTTTCGACGAGCATATATGTCTTCTTTATGAAACAGTCCAGGTGGAAAAGATGGCTTGGTTTTTAGCAGCAAAAGATGGTTAGGGGTTAGTGCTTGATCATGATCTTGAACTTAAAGACATCTGACTCAACACACCACTGTACGCCCAATGCTCTTTCCACAGGGAGTGTGTCATTATCCAAGTCCAGATCCTTAACTTATTTCGCTCTCTCCATCGAAGGTATAGCAGCAAGCACGATACGTCTGTTGCTAATCCACTTTGTGAGATGTACACAAAGTGCACAAAGGTCATGATAGAGTGCCACTGCCTCCTCCTCTGAAACCACTGATGTTAGACAATCATCAACATAGAAATTGTGCAGGACAGTGTTGATTACTTTGGGACTGAACTGCTCCCGATGGTCCTCTGCACACTTTCTAAGGGCAAAACTAACACAACTTGGCGACGATGTAGCTCCAAACAGATGTGCAACCATTCTGTGCTCTTCTAAGTTCTGGTGATGATCTCCATTTGGCCACCAGAAAAACCTCAACAGATCCGAATCCTCAGCTGGTACTCGAACCTGATGGAACATGGCTTCAATGTCTGCCATGAGTACAACAGGTTCCTTTCTGAATCTTGTCATGACTCCAACCAGTGTGCTGGTAAGATCTGGTCCCTGTAAGAGCTGCGCATTCAGCGATGTTCCCTGGAATGTAGCTGCACAGTCAAATACGACCCTGATCTTTTTCTTCTTTGGGTGGTATACACCATGGTGTGGTATATACCATACCCTGCCGTCACTGCGTTCCAGATCCACAACTGGCACTTTTTCTGCATAGCCCTTTGAAAGGATGTCATTCATGAAAGCGGTGTAATCAGCATGAAATGAAACATCTTTATCAAACCTTCTCTTGAGGCTCAGTGTACATTGTTCTGCTACTCTCCTGTTGTTTGGCATGCTAACATCCCTTTTCCTTAAAGGTAAGCCAATACAGTAATGGCCATCCATCAACTTAGCAGACTTTGTGACGTACTCCATAAAGTGACAGTCCTCGCTTGACGGTCCCATCTGCTCATCCTGACTGCATTCAGGGAAATCAGCCTTTAGCTGCTGCTTCCACAGATCTTCAAGGTTTGCAACAGATATCATATTGACAGTGACATCTGGCTGTCCACAAGTAATTGCACTACTCCTCTGAGAGGTCCATTGACAGTCCAACCCAGCATAGTTTTGACTGCATATGGGCCCCCGTCTACACTCCGAATAACTCCAGTGCCTCAGGAACATTAGTCCCAATCAACAGGTCCACATCTGAATCAATCTCAGTAATCATTACATGTTTCAGGTGTGGCCATCTCTGAAGGTCTTTCTGCCCAGGAATGTTGCCTCGATGAACTGGCATAGTTTTCTGGGTGTAGGTGTCAGGCAGCTCACAATAATGACTGCTGTCTAATCCAGCCAAATGCAGGTCAGAAACAATGTGACTTCCAACTATTTTCTCCTGACCCATTGTCCGAAGGAGAATGTCTGTTCTTCTTCCCCTGAGATTCAGTTTGTTCATCAGCCGCTCCGTGCAGAATGATGCTGAGCTCCCAGGATCCAGGAAGGCATATGTTATGATTGTTTCATGTCCCTTCTTAGACTTTACTTGAATAGGCACTATGGAGAGAGTACAATCTGGCTCACCGGCCCCTGTAAGACCACTGGACTGAACGGAGATCAGAGCACTGCTTATAGCTTTTCCTTTAGCTTGCATTGTGTCAGTTTCTTTCTCTTTCTGATAGATAGGAAGTATGCTTGGGTGCTTCAGACTGCATACTTTGCACGAGAGGCGTTTCCTGCAGTCTTTACTCATGTGCCCAATACACAAGCATCCAAAACACACACCATGTTCCCTCAAGAAAGCGATTTTCTCACTATGAGCCTTTCTTTCCAGTTGAAAACACAGATCCCGTGTATGTCCACCTCCACAAAACAGGCAAACACTTGTATCTAGTGAGCCTCTCTCCTTCATTCTTATTCCAGGTTCCACTTTCTTTTCCGCTGTCGTAATAGTAGTAGCAAAGCTGCTTCCCCTCATCCTTGAACGAGGTTCAAACTTAGCTTTCCTCACATCTTTGTTGGCTGCTGGTGGAGTATCCTGTATATCTCCAAACAGTGGATCGCTCACAATATCCACCTGTCTTTCAATGAAGTTAACAATATCCATGAATGTAGCTCTCCGGCCCTGCCTTTTCTGTAAGTCATAGGCCAGGGTTCTCCATTTGTCCCTATATTTGTAGGGCAACTTTTTTATGATGGCTAGCATATTGCTAGGCATGTTCAACATGTATTCAAACTCTTCCATGACGTTGCAGCATCCTCTCAGAAAGAGACCGTAAGCTTGCAGAGCTCGCACATCTTCTACTCTTATTGGCTGCCATGAAAGAGCCTTTTCCATGTAAGCTGAAACAATTTTCTGTGCATTACCAAAATGCTCCTGTAGCAAAGCCTTTGCTTTGGCATATCCTCTGTCATGGGCCATATGCTGACAGCTTCTGACAAGCTCCAAAGGCTGCCCCCTGGTGTACTGTTCGAGAAAATACAGGCAGTCTTTAGGGTTGTGAGTCTTCTCCTCAATGCTGTGCTCAAAAGCTCTTATGAATGCTTGGTATTGAAACGGAGAGCCATCAAAAATCTGAATTTCTCTTTTAGGCAGAAAAGAAATAGACTGTTGCTGAACCAACATGGATGTTATTTCATTTTGTCTTTCTTAGACATTAATGAAAGGATTCTGAGCACTGCTGCTTGGTGCCAGTGCTGCTGGGTGATTGCTTTGGTGCTGTAAATGTGGATGTGATTGTGTTGAACTTTGATGTATATTGGCCTCTGAGCTTCTTGTGGCTTGATGTTGCAGATGTCCATATTCTACTTCATGTTCTCTGTGCGAAAACTGTGCATCAGACTGGCCACCTGTAGGCCTGTTTGTGTCAGGCACAAATGTTTTTGCTCCAGCACTGAGTGTGGCTTCCTTTCGTCCCCTTTCCAAATAAGAATGCATGCCATTGGGACTCACAGATGTGTTACTTGCAGCACGAGACCTTCCAGAGCGTCTTAGCACATTCATTTTAGCTCTTGATGCGGCTATTTCCACTTCCATTTCCAGTTGCTCCCTCTGTTTCCTGAGCTCTTCCTTCTGTTTCCTGAGCTGTTCCTTCTGTTTCCTGATCTCTTCCTCTTGTTCATCCAATGCATGCTTGTCTTTTAATAACATTTGTCGTGCCATGAGAGCGGCCATGTCAGCCTCAGCTTTGATGCATGATGATGTAGTTGAAACACTGGTTCCAGCAGAGCTCCGCTTGCAAGACCCAATGCTTCCTATGTTTGAAACACTGTCGCTTGGTTTTATTTCATCTTGTGCTTCGGGAGTTTCAACATTTTTCCCAGAGTGTTTTGAAACATGAGACATACTTTGCTGGTGTTCATCAGATATCTCATTTGAGGGAACATGTGCAATGGTGCTGCTCGATTGTCTCCCAGTTTCAGAAAGCCATTGCCGTCGATAAATCCATTATTGTATTTCAGTGTCTTGGCAAACCATACATTTTGTTTTTCCTGTTCGTCTGCAGGAAGAAGAGGAATTACAGATTTGTGTAACAGGGTGGTTTCTTTAACCAGTTGAATTAAATGTTCAAGTTGAGTTTGTATTTGTGAGGCGTTGTCATCCCTTTGCATGAGATCCTTCATTGTTTTAATCACACTTTTCATTTTGTGAACCTTTGATTGACGTTCCTTTTGGAGCTTTTCCATTTTATTTGCCAAAGCCTTGGCAGTGAGTATCGACTCTCTCTTTTGTTCATCCATTTTTGCCACATTGACATCTGAAGTTGATCCACTTATTGACATCCCTTTAATGTTTTAATGAATGCACCAAAAAAAAGCTCCAATCCACACAGCCGAACGCTCAATATATCACGGCTGCCGATAATAAGCAACCTCTAGCGGCACAAACCCACACACGCAAGCAACAAGTCAGTCCCCAATGGACATGCAGCAGTAACTTATTCACACTGTGTTCTAACAAACATTTACACAGCATGAATGAAGAAGTTACATACCGCTCGCTCCTGATGCTGTGTGGATTGTCCGTCAGTCTTTCTTTATCCTCCCGGCAGTACGCTGAAGTTTCCTTAAGCCGCTCTCCAATACAGCGGCGAACACGGCGTTTCAATGTTTCCTTTTAATTCCACAGCGTCACAGATCGATCCTAGGAATCTCCGTATATATCCTCGATTTCCGTAGATCCACGCTGTGGTACAAGTCTTTTTGTTGACTTACACGCACGCATGCACGCATACAAGGATATACGTATATGGATATGGAATATTGCATTTTTGCTTTGGAAATAAAAGGTCAAACGCATACTGTGTTGGAAAGACTGAGTTTTTGTGCGTCCACAGTGTTTTTTCTCTTGTTTAGTCCCTCGCGGCACTTTGTTTAAGATTACTGCCGCAATATTAAGTCAACAAAAAATTGTCCTTCTCTAGCTCACTCCCCCATCTATTACCAAATGCGCAGGTAAAAGCAACCGGATATAAGCACAAACGTCACCACACAAATCCAATGACACGCCCACCACCTATAGTGACTCAAAAAACATGTATCGTAACAAACACAGAAATGGCTTCACATGTGGCTCCTACAGAAATGGTTCCTCCATGAAACTCCTCACAATCCTGTGCATTTATCCTGAATGACAGGGTCACGATATCTTAAATGAGACATTGCTGTTGTTCAGGTATAGGTTTTGTCACTTTGAGCGATACATACATGGTGTCATCTAGTTATATTAAATTGGAAGAAGACAGACATCTCTATCAGTGGTAACTCAAAACAATCTAAATTCATAAATAGCACTGCGAGGACCAGGAAAACATATATACTTTTTGTTTTGGGGTGAACTGTCACTTTAAAGTATCTTGTAAATGTTCTCACTGGTCGAACTTGTCTGGTGTGACCTCCAGAAACGGCTGCAGAGTGGCAAAGGCTGCGTTGTTCACCAGCAGGTCGATGGGGCCCACGTCCTGCAGGGCCGCCTCCGTGGCCCCCCAGTCTGCCAGGTCCACACATACTGGGGTGATGGAGGCACACTGAGGGGGGGGGCACAGCAGAGAGGATGGTGCAGAGCAGAGAGAGAAGGAGGAGAAGGAGGAGGGGAACAGCTAGTATTGATCCATACAATTATGAACAGCGTATACAAAATTATCAATCCTGCACTAACTATACATTCTTTTTTGGAGGGGATTTTGCATATACTGACTCACAAGCAGTTTACTGTGATAATCACTTTGTAATGATTAAAATCGCTTCAGATGTTTTCACAAGAAAGTACTCTCCTTTTGTGCAGTAATACACTGTATACTGAATATGTCCAGTACAGCTAGTGAGCTTTGTCAATAGATAACATCTTTAATTATAATAATGAAAGTAACAATAACTAGAAAATGCTGAAAATGCGTGCGAATGCTGTAAACTGTGTACATTTGTTGCTGAATTTAGCTGAAAATGCAGAAAAAGCTGAATATTTTATTAGTTGAATGGTCTCGGTAGCTGCTTTAAGCTACAAAAAGTGTGTTGCTGAACTTAGCGGAGAAATGCAGAAAAGTGAAATGATTTGAATCAAATTGTTACAGCTCAAATGCATTGCAATGACTTTGTTGAAAACTTGAAAGTGAAATGTTAAACTGGAAGAGTAGGAAAAATAGTGAAGAAGCTTAATATTTAAAAGAAAAGGTTTAAAAAGGTATAAACAACTAAATGTATAGCCTCAATGTCCTGAAATAGCTGAATAAGTTAATAGTTTAATGGTTTATAGCTGAAAGTAGGCTGAAGGAGTTAGATATTAAATTTAAGTAGTAGTGAATGAATATTTATTAAGAAGAGAAAAGAAAGTAAAAACGCTTTGAAAAGCAGCAGAATATTTTAACTGCAAACTTTTCGACTAAACCCATACGTCACCAATAATGTATAAAATATGTGGAACATGTTGAAGTCAGTATGAAGTCTCCATCAGACAGAAAAGAATAGGCTGAGACAGTCTGCTTGTCATTGTTTGTTTCTGTGCAGAGCACCTAATCATAACACCCAGGGCCGTCCCTGGCCAATTTGAGGCCCAACGCAAAGTTATATGATGAGGCCCTCTGTTTCGCGAATCGCGAGAGTCGACGGGTAGGGGGGACGGGGGACGGGCTAGTGGAGCCTCGCAGCGACAAAACCGTGCCGCGCCACACTAACTGATAAGCTCAGTTGAGGCTCCCTCCGCAAGATGAGGCTCCCTCCAAAAGGTGAGGCCCCACGCAGTCTGCGTGATCTTCCTGTAGGGAGGGATGGCCCTGATAACACCTAATCATAACACCTGTGTGTGAGCCCAGAGATCAAAGGTGTCCATGGTGACGACGTTATCAAACATCTGTGTGCAGAGATCAAAGGTTTCCATGGTGATGTGCAGTGATCTGTGAGAGGAGAGCCTTTCCATTGATCTGAATGAGAGATAAACCTCTTACATTTGAATGTTTTGTTGAAGAACCGTATTAGCTATCACATTTACAACACCTGTATGTGAGCCCAGAGATCAAAGGTTTCCATGGAGAAAGTGTGCTGTGAAAGGAGAGCCTTTCCATTGTTCTGAATGAGAAATAAACCTCTTACATTTCTAACTATAGTTTAAAAACGGTAGCTGCTTTTGGTAAAATGTCAACGCGTGAAGTATGTCAAGGACCCTGAGCGTCTGAAGTGTGCGTTTTGTGCATTTTCCTCACCCACTCTAGGGGGGTCCGGGGGCATGCTCCCACGGGAAGATTTTTTTTTTAAATATTGAAGTTAAAAGCATCAATCTGGTGCACTTTGAGAGCAACATGAAGAGATCTATGGATCTATGTGCTCTTTGCTTGATTCATGCCTTCCCAGTCCCTGATCACGTACAAGAGCATGGCGCCAGTTGTGGTGAAGGCATATGACTTACTTGAACCGAAATGTCTACATGCATAGCGGAAGATGGCATCTTTTTTACATGAATATTCCAGCCAATCTCTGTTTTGAAACCATGAGCTGCAAAATGAGCGCCTTACCCCACTGTCCAGGCGAGTTGGGTACCTTTTTAAATATACCTGGGCAGGCTCTGTTTTGCCAAGGACCTCTGGCACTTGCGGGCCGCCGAGGGGTGGCGGTGTTTGGGTCAAGCGGCACAGGTCACGCGCAGCGGCACAGGTCACGCGCACCTGACATAATAACGTTACTTACCGTTTAAATTGACCAAATAAATGCAGCAGACAATGTTATTTAACCACAATTACAATTTATTTTATTTCAACTATATTCTTCTTCTTATTATTATTATTATTACTATTATTGTTATTATATATGTCATCTGTTTCACTTTTCATTTTTCAAATGAGGGTGCAAAACGACTCAACTGAGGGTGCAATGCACCCTTATGCACCCCCGTAGAACCGTACCTGCTCAGGAGCAGTGCTGCGTACCTGGACTCACATTCAGGTTCAGGTCCGGACTCAAGTCCAGAGGTTCAGGTTCAGGTCCGGACTTATAAGTCCGGACCTGAACGCATGGCTTGTGTCAAGTTGTGTGAGTAACTAAAGTGAACTTATTGTGAGCTAATTATCAATTGAAAATTAACTCATAATCAACTCAAATTCAAACTCATCAGGTTTATTGTGCTCCCTTCCAACTTGTGTCTACATTTCTCTACAAAGTACAAATGTAAAAAAAACACTTTTTGCCACTTAGTCTACAAATGACTTATGACAGCAACTACAGTGAACTACTACAAAGTTCAAACATGTATTTCATTTACCAAACTAAAGTAACCAAACAGTCCCTGAGCTGACTGAGCCTAAATCCCTAAAACGTTGCTGAAAGTTAGAGTGTAGAGTAGACTATACGCATTACACTGTTACACATCTACTATACAGTATAGGCTACACTGTAGTGACTGTACAGTCAGAGTGTACTGTACTGTCTGTACACCATGTATTTTCTACAACTCTACATGTGTACATTATACAGTACATACTACATACATAGTGATGTACATACATACTGTTAGAAATTAAAATCAATGTTGATATGGCGTAATTTTGAATTAAATACACTATTTAATTTAAATCAGTTTTATTCTGAAAAAACCGGAAGTTCACACTATTAACTTAATACTTTTATTCAGAAAATTATTCACTTCCGGTTAGCATTAGCATGTGGCAAAATGCTACGTTTTCAAACCGTGAATCGAAGGTGAAATGACATGTGATGTTGTACACCGAGCACACTGGGATTAGCACTCATTTATTGACGCTGAATAACGTTTATCAGGGAATGTTTAAATAACCACAGACACCAGAATATACGTAAGTGCTAGTTTTTTTGCGAGTCCAAGTACCGGTTCCCGACGTTCCGGTTTTAACCGGACTTGAACCGAAACTTTTTACAAGTCCAGTACCGGTTCGGCGTACCGGTACGCAGCACTACTCAGGAGTGTAGGGTTTGGGAATTATGGCAAGTTTAAACGTTTTTTTGGGCGAATTTCAAGCTGTCCTCCACTCTGTTTTGAGATCAAAGCACTCTAGACTTAACGGCTCAATACACACTCATGTTAAAATCTGAAGAAAGCCTCTTTACCAAGCTCCAAACTAAGTTAAATATCTCAAAAAGTGTAAAAGATATCAAAAACAATGCTATAAATAGCATTCACACTAATAAGAAGAAGATGATTAAAGATTTGAAGAACTATAGTGGAATGCTATTGCACAGCAATAATTATAGATTCATTCTGAACTAAACATGATGGTGCCTAACGACAGCCAAAGTCTGTTTTAGATGATGAAACCCAAATGAAATGCCACATTGTGATGATGTCATTGCACAGTGTTTTAACTGGTATATTCCTCAGTGAGAGAAGGTGTACCTCCTGCAGCAGGCTGTGGAGGTCGGCCTGTGAGCGTGTGACCGCGGTGACCTTTGCCCCGCAGCGTGCCAGAGCCAGAGCCGTGGCCCTGCCGATCCCTGAGACAAAACATCCAGAAACACAAAGGGTGATTACAGAGAGGAGCTGTGACACACACACACACACACACACACACACACACACACACACACACACACACACACACACACACACACACACACACACACACACACACACACACACACACACACACACACACACACACACACACACACACACACACACACACACACACACACACACACACACACACACACACACACACACACACACACACACACACACACACACACACACACACACTTCAAACAAAGCATTGTTATATTCCATTTTCTCTCTCAGACAATGTGCAAATTCTTCACACGCCTTCATCAGATCTGAGGTTCACATGTGATCTCAATTATAGAGTTTTAAATGTCTTTTTTTAACAAAAAGGATGGAGGGCAAACTATCAGGCATTGAAAGTTGAAATTGAGTGGCAAGTTCAATTTAGTAAGGCTTTAAATATGACTGCTTGGGGTTGGACGGACACATTTCAAAAGTTTCAAAACCTTTGGATTTTTCCAAAATACGTTTTGTTTTCACTTTTAAAACATTAGAAACAAAGCCCATTAACAAAAGAAAGTGTGCAAAAGAAATACAAATAAAATAGTGCAAGAGAATGATACAGGAGACACAATGGTGCAAGCAACATGCAGAAATAAGTCAACCTGATTAAGCATAACAGCATTTGCCTCCATTCGTTGTATGAGTGGAGGCAGTAGAGTTCATTAGTAAACTAGAGGGAGTGTCCTGATTTGACTAATTGACTAGTTTAACACACTTTCTAAAACATGTCAACTAGTTATGCAAAATGTAAACTACTTAACATGTTTAGCCCTTTTTACCTCACTAAAAACGAATGAGGCTAAAACAGTTCTAGTAGTAATAGTTAATAAAGTAGAACAGAGTTTAACTAGTGAATGTGTCAGCACTTTCCTTGTTGTTCTGAGTTTGAATCCTCATGGTTTATTGCACTTATTGTAAGACGCTTTGGATATAAGCGTCAGCCAAATGCAATGTAATGTAGTTGAACTAGTGACATTCGTACTCGTCACTAACCTCACACTACTTTTGGTGTCTTTTAACATTGCTGGTTAACTAGCAAGGCCAAAAGTGTTGACTAGATGAACTAGTGAAAGCCAAAATGCTCACTATTGTATTTACACTAGTTCAATTACAGTGGTGAGCCGTCAGGGCCCTATAGGCCCTCTGTGAGGGCCTAAGATATTCTACAAAATAATATTTGAAAACATTAAAAAATATATATATATTTATTTTTTTTTGTTGTTAAATTTTTCATTAGTTTTACCAAAATAACTTGATTTAATTGTATTTAAAATAGCAATTTACCAATTGGGTATCAAATAAACAGTAAGCATTGGTAATACAACTTCCAAAGTCAGAGGCGGCTGGCTTCCCTTGCCTCACAATCCAATCAAATCGCATCAATTTAATGTTGCAGTGACGCATCCTAAAACCCGGAAGTAAGCTGCGCTCGGTTTCCCTCGACAAAAAAGCAATGGGATTTCTCCATAGGATTTTGGAAAATAGCTCGAAATAAGGTCAGTGGAAAACAAACCTGTTTGATAAATGCACGTTTTGTTCAGTCGGATAATATCCACACGTCTACCCTACTTTTATAATTTTCGAATCATAAATCTAATCGATATAAGATAGATAGCGTCCACTCTCACCGCCGTTAGAAAGTAGCAAGCAACTGAAGCAAGTGCAATTATGGAGGGTGGAGACTTGGAGTATTTAATCAAAAATAATTGTACTAAACTTCCGCTACAGCAGCAACAACAAATACAATCTGATGACAGGCCAATGCCAAAACTGGAGCTGTGTACAGAGAGGAAAAAAGGAGCGAATCGGACGTAAGACGTTAAAGGTCTCCTGATTTAGTTTGTGAATGAATGCTTATTAGAGTTTTGTCTGGAGAGTGCGTGCGGACCTGTCGGTTAGATCAGGGGTTCCCAACCCCCGGTCCGCGGACCGGTACCGGGCCGCGGAGGTGTTACTGCCGGGCCGCGAAATAGCTGTGAGTTTATCGTAATATTTGCAGAATTCTAAATATATAAAAATATTTTTTTCAAAAAGTGTTTAATGTTCGCACCTATAGGCTACCAGTCATATTATTTCCTCCAGTAGCCATAATTAATCTTTCACCAGATAACCGTTGAAAATGGCTTTTATCATGTTCCGAGGGATTCGGCGGCTCAGCCTGGTCTCAGCCTCTTGTGTGCACGAGAAAGTTACCGGTGCGCCAAGTAGGAAGAGGAGCGCATAGGAGACAACCGTTTAATTGCAGACTGTTATGTTTATGTGGGGAAATGGCAGTGCATACATTATTTGAGATATATTTCAAACTCGGACTTCATTTTAAGGACATGTCGGCCAGGAGTGTAGAGCTATATGTTTATTTTATAGCTTTTCTTTTTAATGACTGATTTTAAATGCCATTTTCTTAATGTCTTTCATTTTTTTGTAAAGCACTTTGAATTGCCTTGTGTTGAAAAGTGCTATATAAATAAACTTGCCTTGCCTTTGTTTAAGCACCGGATTGGCAAAACAGGAGAGTAAACCAGTCTGCCTTGATCTATGAATTCATGTCCGGGACTCTCACGGTATCTGCTGCCCGCAGCTGTTTTATAGAAGGAAAACCTCCTTCACTTCATGAAATGGCTGCAGGCAGCATCAGGAGGCAGCGGGACGTGTAACTCCGCTTCTGAGAAGTGCAGCACCAGCGCGCCGAGAGCTGTGCCTTTTTACGCACCGCCTTCGCTGTGTTTACCTTCATCAGAACAGCGAGTGACTGCAGGCTGCTACGTGTTAACCACACACATCTCTACACACATCGAACTGCACGATTACTCCCCCTTTTATTAGTTTTATGAAGGAGATGTCCAGTCACCAAGGCGCATGATGTGTGTGTGTGCTCTGCTCAGCTCTGTGTTTGTGTCTGTCCGACACCGGCATTTGTTTTCAAATGACCATGAACAGTAATGTACACACATCTGGCTAACTCCATAGGTAGCCTATATGCGGGTGTTCCAAAAATAAATTAGTTTAATCTTAATCTCGATGTAGTGCTAAATGCTGTCGGACGTGCACCGGAACGAACGTCACTATCATTATATCTTCTGAAAACAAAGGCCAGTGTCACACACACCTCCTTCATAATGCGCCTTCTCCTCGTTTTCCCATCACTGGATTATCCGTAAATCATACAAACTGAATAACGTCGGTTTTTTGGTTTTCCGTTTTTCCGAAAAACGATACCGGTTCTTTTTTAAACGTTGTTAATATTGTTCTAGTATTTGTTCAGGCTGTTACATACAATTAGCCTCTGTTGCTACCTGCTGGAGAGTAAATATTAAAATCAGTTAAAATTGACAACCGGTCCGCGATTTTTTTTAAATGTATCTGCCGGTCCTTGGCACAATAAAGGTTGGGAACCCCTGGGTTAGATAACAGGTGTGTGTAAGTCCTGCATCTGTATGATACAAATGTGTGTAAAATGATACCGGGTGCTGTAATCACTCATCTGGTTACGTTATTGCATTGACCACCACACCCCCGACCCAAAAGAAAGGACGTATTATTGGCTTCCCCTAATTTTTTCCCCACGCCACGCTACTGCGTTAAAGTTGAAATCTTCCAGACAAAATTTGAAAAGTGCCGGTCAAAGGTCTTCTTTGTTATTTATTGAGCTTTAAAACAAATTGTTATGATTCGATATTAAACAAACTAATTATAGTAGATTAACTCTTCAAATGTGTACAGTAATTTACAATAACATAATAAACGGAGTGCTCTCTCCCTCTCCTGACAGCCCGTTAGTATCATGCAGCTCGCGGATCCAGTAATGAGTGACCCGACAGTAAAACTAAACATATCTATAACTAGTTTAGGTAGTTTGAGAGGTAATTAAAATAGCTACGTGTGATATTCTAACCTGAAGTGTGCGTTTTGTTCCGCTCACCGCTGCATGTGATTATGCAGAGCTGCGTGTCAACTCGTCAGCAGCAGCTGATCTCTCTCTCCCGTCAGATTAGACTTTACTCGTCGCGTTTATGTCCGTATCGATCAGATCCAGCTAGTTCTAGCTAATGATAGGACTACCTGCTTATTAAAAGACACCTAAACAATAAGCGTCGCTATGCAACCGGGTGAGGCCGCAAAGTAACGCTATGCATTTGTTTACATGCCCACCGGAACCCAGAGGCATTACCAACAGATCAACGCACAATCAACCCATACAGGACATCTCTTTCTCCACATTAAGTGTTCGACATTAGAATTGACTATTCTTGTCTGTCACATACTCTTTTGTCTGTCACATAAGTGGCGCAAGTTGCGCAACTGATGCGGTATTGCGCTAAGGGGAAATTATTTTGACCGGAGAGATTTAGATTTGCCGGTCTTCAGCATATTTTACGGGTCGTAGTCCGGTAATTACAGGCTAACGGGAACTCTGTACTATTTATCTCTCAATATTGTCTGTAAAAACGTGGTAAAAGTAATTCTTTCAGTGAGACAACAGAGCAAGCTTCTACAGTTGCACTACGTTTTGATAACAGTTAAATTGATAATAGCATATATTTCAATGTTGATGAACTTCATAATGTTCATTCATAATCTGATTGTCTTTGTAGCTCACTGTTGAAATAAAAAAAAACATTACAATTACAAAATAATTATATCTACAGCCCCAAACACACAAACACACCACGTTCATAAATAACACACTTGTTCTGCAATAATATGTTTTATGTTTCCTGTAATTTTTGTTAGGAAAGGACATGCCTGAAAGACACAACATGTTCTCCTTCTCTGAGGGTCAAGAAGAACATTCAAGAGGAACATTAAAAGCTGATGTTATGAGATTTTAAGACCAGTACAGGACATTCACTAAGAAACTACTTGTATTGTGAAAACACAGTCAGCTGATCGAATGCAGCTATTTCCACATCTACTCTCCATCCGCTGATTATTTATATTTGCCTTGCTTTATGAGCTTCACATCACTTGTGCCTTGTACCGCAGAGTTTGCAATGTTACAAATAAATGGGGCCAATCTTCAGTCAGATGTGAATGTGTAATCTAACATTTTCAGTAAGAATAATGGACGAAAGGAGAGCAAATACAAATACAATTTATTGAAATGTGAACCAAAAGTTAATCAAATGTTTTAAATAAAAAGCACATATGGACAGAAGGTGTAAACCTATTAAATGTATAAGTAAACACATTTAATCAAATAAAGTGACAGACTAGGCCTGTGCAGTTGGTATCAGCTATACCCAACATGGGCTCCTCCATCAGGCCTGGTCCTTCTCGCTGAGGAAAGACCCTCAGTCCTCTCCAAACCAACAGACAGGACGTCCATCACACGGAGGTTTCTCCCTGAAGTCTCTGCAGCTCTCTAGACACCATGCTGTCTCAATCCGTCCACACTGAATATGAGAGGGGAAAAATGAAAATAATAAATGCTTTAGACAATAAGAAATATAAAGTTGACTGTTGAGTTGCTCAGTTATTTTAGATTGTCAATACTATTACTGTATAACTAATATATCAGGTTAAGAGGCACATTCAAATAAAGATTGGTCTTTAAATACATGTTGTCTTTTGAATTGTTTGTCTAAAGTCAAGGATCTAGAACTGGTACTTAGTTTTAATGATACAGTCTGGTTATTATGCTGTTTGGAGGATGCCTCAGGTAAGAGCACTAACTAGCTACCATCACATGTACCTTAGCTTGACTTAAATGTATTAAACGTATAGTTAAGTGATATCAAAATATAAATAACTAATGTCATTCAAACATATTAATATTTGCTTGATTCCAGTGTTGAATTTAGCACAATTGCATACCAACGCTAAGGGATTTTAAGATTCTGAAGTATTATGCTAAAAACTCAATAACTTAGATTATTATTTATAGTTTTGCTGAATAGTTTCATGTCCGCTTACCTTAGAAACGTAAAATGTGACGGCAGTGTGCAGAAGGGGAGCATGTTAGCTTAGCTTGGTAGCTTCAGCTAGCTCTGGAACTTCCAGCTCGGTGGCAGCAGGTCCCGCCTCGGCTCCGCCTCTTTGCCCTTATTTGGAGCAGGCGGGAGTTGAACTCTGACGTCACTGTCGAGTGGCCGACTCCGCCTACTAAGGGCTTCTCGGCAACTCTGCAGAATGCTATGGGTGATGTCACGGACCCTACGTCCATTTATATATACAGTCTATGGTTTCATAGTTAGCTTAGCTAAGCATCAACCTAGCACTGAAATATATGGATGTTATGTGACAGTATTTCTGAGAAAAAGTCAGCTGAAATGGTGTCATAGTTGTCACTGCTTTACGTGTGGACAGCATGTTTGAACGTATTTGCAGCAGTAAATGTGGCTGTTTGGCCACTGACGTTGCCATAACAACACCTGAGTTTAAATGTGCAACCTCTTTTTGTGACAGATTTTTGCATGAAATTATAATTCTTCTGAATGATATTCCTATTGACAGATAGTTTCTATGTGAACATTATGAGATGGACAGCCAGAGTGAATAAATGAAAAACAGTTATGAAATACTATGACAAAACAAGAATACAGTTTAAGTGATTTGTAAAATATCCATAAAGAAAAATCTGTTTACAGTTCTGTTTTTTGCTAAATTGGGTGTTGAGAGATGTATCCAGATGTATCCATAATTAATTTTGCTCTGTGCACCAGATTGATGCTTTTAACTTCAATATTTAAAAAAAATCTTCCCGGGGGAGCATGCCCCCCACGGTGTTTACATGCTTATTTATACAATATGTGTTCTTGTGCTAACATCATAAGACAAAAGTTGGTTCCGTGTTGTGTGTAGTGAGAACGCGCTAGAGTGAGGGGGGCCCCCAAGCCAAAGCTCGCTTAGGGCCCCCAAAAGTCTAGGGCCGGCCCTGGGCTTCCCATTGGCTCTCAAGTTCGAAGTAAATATGATTTCCTCATGTCCCACACTGCTTCTAGTTCAGTCCAGAGGGCCACTAGTGTCAACAAGCTGACCAGTCTGGATTTTGGTGCTACTTGTAAGAAACTTAGTCGGAAAATAGTTCCACTGTTTGCTAAAAAACGAGTGACTAACTCGACATAATGCCAAACTAATGTGACCAGATGTCTAACTAGTGCTAACAAAGAGCTAACTAGTGTAGCAACCTGCTCTCATATGAAGTATATGGAGTAAATATGAAAACAGCATACCATAAAGTGATGCTTAAATCAGCCTGCTGGTGTCACTGCACGCACTGTAAACGTCTTATGTGTCTTGTTTGTTGTGTATTGTGTGCAGCCTAGTATTGTTGTGTTCACCTTTTCCTGCTCCGGTCACTAAAGCTCGTTTGCCCGCAAAGGAGATGTCCATGGTGGGTGAAGTCCTCCGAGATCAGCTGCAGTGGAAACACACATTACAGACTGAAGAGTCACGTGACTTCATGTGTACTCAGGACGGATCGAACTTTTCTGCAACTTCCTTTATGTTACAACTAAATCAGCCACACGCATTCCCTGCTTCCTGATCTTTGATAACGTGTGTGTTGAGGTTAGAAACAACGGAGGTACTCACCGGCGCTGCGACAGGTGGGGCTCTGTGTCCGACTGCAGCCAGGCTGCAGGAAGCTGCCGCTGCTCACGGCAAGGAGGCGGATCCTAAAGGGGGTGGATCCTATAGGGGGGGGGCGTTTCCTAAAGGGTTATGAGCCCCGCCCCCACGTATTTCTTAATGGTATATGACGCTCTGTTTCTCATTTATTTTAATGCTTTGAATGAATCATAAACGAACTTTGAAAAATTATAATTATAATTAATTTGCATAAAGAATGAAGAGTATACAACCCACAGAGAAGACAAATTAATTGACCTATTGACAGATCATAATGAATACAGAGTCAATTTGATAGTTTATCATAACATAGGATACATACTCATAAATTGTAGGCATATCATTTTTCACTGTTTATGCAGTGGTAGTAATTATTATTCAAATCAATCAACTACGTTTTATGGAAGATATTGCTGTATATCATTTAACAACATGAGTAGAGGTTTCTGTACACCTAAAATACTGAAGTTGAAGTTACTGTCCTGATGTGTATCATTCATTTGTTCATGTTGTGTCTGGTGGTAAGATTAATTAATTAACGTATTTATTATTTTTGAAACTTTACAATACACATCAAATACTAAACATGAAATGTATAGTACATACCAATACATTGTACAAAGGAAAATATATACAGTACATACAAAGAGGAAAGTCTTCATTAAACATAAACATTTTATTGGGTGTTCTAATTCAGCAACCACAAAATATGTGCCCAGATTTCATTATCTCTGACTTCATCAACCAAAAGATCAATTTTAATATTTAACATGAACTCAGAAAGAAAAACACAATGTCTGCCTTATACAACTTTTGTTGGTCATCTTTGAATATCATCCAAGTTTTGTAGATGGACAATTTTGCTATTATTAGTATAAGGTTTACACTAGGCTATGGGTCAATGACGTGACGCCTATTTTTTCTTTCCAACTGAATTTTTTACCTTAAAAAAAACATTAAAATTCATAAAAAGATAACATGTATCTCTAATACCTTCCCCATATACATACCCACTTTAACTTCTCCAAACATTTGAGGTATTGGTCATTTTTCTGCTATCTGAAGTGTCAAATGTCCATGTGGGGCGACTGTCCAGCATTGACTTCTATTTGGACAACCGGCTTAAAATCACTTTAAATCTATTTAAATATTTCCCTTGCCCTATTTGGCATAATTTCAAACATGTTTTGCATTCATTGACAAAATTATGAAGCATTTGCACATATAGTTCCATCATAATATACAAACGAATGTTGTCCGTATATGTTCATTTTATGAAATATCATCTGGGGCGACCATCAAGAAAACACAATTGTGGGACTTTTATTTTGAAACCACCTCAAGGACAGGATGTTGCATCAGCCAGTCACATGTGAGGGACCCAGAGAAACAACTGGCAGGTTAGTAAGTCTCTTTCATATTTGCAAAAAAATCTCTTTTTTAACTGCTGTAATGTACTTGCCACTTTTGGATGTCTTGACCGCCCCAAAACTGTGAATAATATGTTATATCCGAAAATCTATATTTTGATGATGAATTTGATAGTGACATGTGGTAAGAGCTAGCTAGTTTGGTTTCTGTAGCTAACGGTTAGCCTGTAATATTTGACTGACCTTGAAAACATCATCTGGGCGACCAAGTATCATGTGGGGCGACCACTGCTGAGTGTTTTAGATGATAGATATATGTCCTGTATTTGTAGTTTCTGTATATTTATATTTTATTCATGTTTTATATACATAAAGTTCTTTGTTTTATCATAACTGTTTGTATACTTTAACATATATTTTTCAAATTTTCAGTCAAATTTTCAGTACATTTTTTTTTTTTTTTGTACAATCTTATGAGAAATATTTAAAAACTGTATAGCATGACATTCCATTTAGGTAATTGTACATGTATTAGTCATGTTTAACTAGTTTAACCTATTTTCTAGATGGCAAAAACAAGCAAAGAGAAGACTGCTTGCTACAGGCAGCGGGTCAATGCAGACCCTACAGTAAGAGCCGACTATCTTGCCAGGAAAAGAGAAAGGTAAAAAACGATATGTAACATGTAGTATATCTATGTTTCTCTGTTTCTTTGTTTTTTTGCCTATTGTCAGTGACTTTGGGTCATTGAAAAGCGCTATACAAAATAAATGAATTATTATTATTATCATTATCTTTCTCTGGTGTATTTCAAACTGTCATGTTAGTAGGATTAGGAATAACCTTTTCTGTAATATATTGAACTTAAATTTGTATGTGATTTAGCCCACCAGAATCAGTATAACATTATACACTATTGTTCCAGCTACCATAGAAGAAAACAACAGGGCAAGATTCCATATTTGAAGTCGGATGAGATTTCAGAGAGGGAGGAAAAAAAACAGAGAGACAAGTGGAACGCTGCATCCAGAGGTTACAGGGGAAGGAAAAAGATGGAAAAGGCGATGTTGGACCTGACACCTCCATCCATGGAGAACACTCCACCAGTTCTAGCTGGTGTAGAAGTAATCCAAGAGCAATGATGGAGACACTTGGAGGGGCGTGATTGGGAGGAACGGCCCCCCTGATCTGAACCGGAGTGGTGGTTTGTTACTGGACTTCTGTGCTAGTCATGGATTGGCCATAACAAACACCATGTTCGAACATAGGGATGCTCATAAGTGTACGTGGTACCAGAGCACCCTAGGCAGAAGGTCCATGATCGATTTCGTTATCGTATCATCGGACCTGAGGCCGTATGTTTTGGACACTCGGATAAAGAGAGGGGCGGAGTTGTCAACTGATCATGAAGCGCTACGTCATGAACGCAAGAAATCATACCCTCGTGGGGGCGCGCTCATGTGATTGGCTTAGAATGAAGGAGACATCTGATTGGCTATAGATAGAAAAAATTACAAGTACGAATCGGGTGAGCGTCAGGGGAGTCTCAAAAAACCCACACACGAATGCACAGCGATCCGTGCACAGAAAGCGGTTTGTTTGTGATTCAATGGAGCCTGAATACCAGCACTGAGACCCTCACCCTGCACCCTGAGTCTCAACTCTGTGTTTTTCAAGCCTTTCCCTGTTTTTTTGTATTAAACAAAACATTAAGCTTTCCCAATGGTGTGGTTTTCGTTTTGTGAAAAAGTGCAAATGCAGTGTTTGTATATAATTACATCACATATTTTTTTGCTGTTGGTCGTGAAATTGCTCCTGCTGACTTGAGCCAGCCATTTTTTCCTCCACTCCGTGTCAGTGGGGAAGCCGTACATTCGTACTCCTTTCTCGGAGCGATTTGAGCATCCCCAGGCAGCACAGCAAACCATGGTGGCGACTAGGAGGCAGCACAGCAAACCAGGACAACACGGAGGAAAAGGCACAGACAAACTGCATGATATGCTATTCAATGTTTATTGAATTCCATGTATTTGCAATGGATGTTCCTAAAACAACACATTTAACATCATCATCATGCTGCTGCTGCTGCTAGTCCTTTGATAGTCACCTGTCGGTCACCTGTCCTTTCTGAAAGCCATAAAGATGACATTAGTCATTTAGATAACTTGTGTCCTCAATTACCATGGGATTACTGAAACTACCATGCATTTAAGAAAATGGTAGACATTAATCTAATCTGAATTTTAAAGCATTACTTTAGATCCCCTCCCTCTAAATATATCAATAAACATTAGAAAGTGATGCTCCTGACTACCATACAAGTTTAAGAAGATAATATTGGTTTTAAAGAATTCAAAGCTATAAATAAACAGCAACAGGCTCTTTAACCAAGGCACTGTTAGCCTAACATGTAAACTAGTTGTTCACACTAATCCTAATATTATCACTTAATATTAGCAAATTCTATTTTATTTTTTAAAACATATTGATGTAAATACATACACATATCGATTTGTTGTATAAATATTGCAAATCAAAACCTTTATTCACTAATAATTACCAAAAATCGTAGTTCTATCTCCTGTTATCAGTGCATTCACATTGCCCGCCATGAACTTCCGGGGAACGATCCTCGTCTACATGAACCACGTGACGATAACCGTTTTTGGACTTCCGTTGTCGTAACTCTTCTATCATACGGCTCTGATCCATGCCATTGACCAGCAGCGCGGGTGAGTCATCTAGTGTTTATATATATCTATGAGTGACAGCGTCTATCGTTTTTCCAACCCAGTTTAGATCCCACTTCCGCATTACACAGGCATCGACGCGGCGTTACGTCACAACATCTACCTGGCGTTACATCCGGTCACATCACTGCCTCACGCGACACACCCGCGAAATCTGAATCTGACAAGCGAAATACCGCTGAAACGCCGCATAATATACAATATACAATATAATAGTGCTTCTTCGTCAATATGACTGACGACCACACTTATGTAGCGCTGAGGTAATGTTAATTAATCATTTAATATGAATTCCTGATGGATATAAGATATACATTAGCAAACATCTGGAGGCCTATATATAGTCTGTTTCATTTTTTTGTTTGTCATGTAACATATTAACGTTTTGACCTTCTGTTTAGGATGTAAAGGTATCTATTTAATATTTTATTTAAATGTAGACATTTATAATATGTTATAAATGTCTATGTTGTTATATAATTACATTAATAACATATTAACGTTTTGAGACCATGTAAAAATGAAATGTTGGGACATTTATAAAAATGTATTCCTTTACATAAAAGTGCTTTCCAGAGGTGTAAGAAGTGATAAGATCTTGTACTTGAGTATATATAGCCTTGAGTATATATAGCCTATATATATTTAAAACGTCTTTTGTTTGTCCTGAAAACGACATTTGAGGATACACACAGGCTATTTATAGATAATAAAACACCAGTAATACAATCTCAGGACTCTTCGATATGGCTTTGATTATAGGATCGTTTACTTTCAGTCAACAAATCCTTTGGAAAGACAAAAACCAACAATTCAATATCCTGCTTTACCGCGACCGCTATATGAAGTCTATGACGCGATCGCGTAGAGCTACGTCGATGCTTGCGTAATGCGGAAGTGGGAAAAACGATAGACGCTGCCCGGTGATATCCCTTGAGCATTTTCGGATATTAATTATTGCCTTGCCTTGCCTTATTCCCAAATCCCTGAAAAGTATGGATTTATGAGATTTCATGGAAAATTCTCAAATGAAATGCACCAAATGTTGCTTTCTTCAAAGTTTATTCATAAATGAGGTCATGTGTTCCAAATTAATGAATATTAACCCCTTTATGCCAAGCCAGCAAAACAGGTCGCTGGATGAACCCATTGAGCTTTTGAGATCCAGAACAATGGATTTCGTTATTTTTTTTAAATATGCTTTTCATGTCACATCTAACACATGTTGTAACCATCATCTAAAGTGTAATATACCCTGTGATTATGTAATCAAACCATAATTGCAATATTTTGTTGTCATACGGATTCTGCCTCCAGATTGTATTTGGCAAGATAGCCCCTCCAACTGCCAGTGTAGACAGTGCTGTAAAGATTGGAGAGGCAATGTTAGAACTATTTGAAAAGACATGGCCAGAGTGATTTTACAACACCATCTCAAGCAAAGTGAAGACTGTTGTGGAATATTTTCCAAGGCCCATAACTTTGACCCAGTTTATCAGTTCAAACTGTCCTGACTGAGCACACGCACCTCGTAACCTTGGCTGCTGTGCTCTCAGTGTTCTGTCTCCCTGTTCCTGCCTGTTGGCGTCAGCTGATAGAGGTGTTATGATTCTATGTTCCTGCCTGTTGACGTCAGCTGATAGAGGTGTTATGATTCTATCTTGTTATGCAGCGTGTTGATGATTCTCTCAGAACTAGCTAAATACATAGGTCTGAGGTAGAGTTCTTTAGAATTGACGTGGCAACCCACCCGTGCAGTCTCACCGTGACTACTGTGACTTGTGATGTGAATTCTCCGGCCGAAACTCCAAATAAACCATCAGTGTTTGACATCGAAGCTCCTGCTCTACCGTGTCTCCTTCCTGAGTCGGTGACTCCCACTGCATTGCTACACAGAAGTTTCCCTTACAAATTGGCGTTGTCGGCAGGATACCAACACATCTTCAGAACTGGTAAGTGTGATTTCAAATCTACATTTGGACATTGCCTTACCAGAATCTGTGATTGACGGTATCCTAAAAATTACCTGTGAAACTGAGCGGCTGTGTTTCGTTTTTGGTTAATGAACATTTGGGGATAATAAACCCAGGGGATCAGTGTCTGGGGACTCAGTCCTGGCTGATTTCCTCTGTGTGTGCTGCTCGGGACGGAAGTGCCATACAAGCATACACAGCTCATGTTTAGAGAGACCTTAAAGAAAGGCATCAGTGAGGTGGAGCTTCTGTGTGAAAGCAATGTAAAATATTTGTATTGGACAAATCGCCGAATTCTGGGGGTTTTAGCGGCCAAACACAGCAGTTGAAAATAAGCAGCCGGATATATTACTCCTATCGCCTCTCTGTAAAACACGGCTCCAGCAGCAGCCGCGGGTGTGTGTGTAAAACCTCCCTGTGTTTGTGGGGCTGGAGAAGTGCAGCTGAGAGGGAGAAAGTCACAGCTTTTTGTCTATAGCTTTAACTCACACCACCTCCGTCTCTATTAAAAACGAGATGGTCTAAAATGCACTCGTTGTTTGTGACCGTCTTCTACATTGCTGGCAAGGCCGGGGCAGCGCGAGGTGTGTGCATCATCCGATGCGCCACAGTTCCCTATACATGGCTAGAGGAGCTGGTGGCGGTCCGGGGTGCATACATAAAATTATAGGCTAATTGATCACGGGTGGGCAGTGACAAGCAAGTGTAGACCAAAACTGTGCTTCATCGATAGCAAGTGTATAGGCTGGTCGAGTAGGACTACAGTTAACTGTGCTGTTTTTGGAGAGAAAGGGTAGCGGAAAAAAGTCTATGTTCTCCTGGTCGGGGGTTCATAGCGCCACTGATTTAGTAGTGGTTGTCGCAAGAGGATAAGCTAGTTATTGCTTTTGGACGGTCTTCAGGCACGATCTTAGCACTTGTATACAAGGGTGGACGCGCGAGTCAAGGCGCCACCCTAGAGATAAGTCCATACCCCCTCTGATACCTCCTAATTCGTCACAAATTGAGCCGGATGAGCCATGCTGTCATGCTGGTGTTTATTACGAGTTCATGTTTTGTTTGTCTGATTGTTTGTATGGGGGTCTATATTGGTTTGTCCCGCCGTCTTGGGTATGTTTTGTAACAACTAATAATGAATCAGTCCATAGACAGGGTAAAATGAACTAAACTTTAGTTATCCCACCAAAAGTAAATGACTTGAGAAAGAAAAAAATATAAAGATGTAAAGCAAAATTCTGGTCGTATAAATGTGCTGCAAAATGAAAATAAATAGCAAAGGAGTGTTTTTATGTCCTGCCTCTGGGTGTGCAGGGGAAAATGTAAACACGAAGCCCACTGTGCAGGGTGTGCGCTGTAGGTGTAAGAAGAAAAGAAGATTATATTGCTTTAAGAATCCATTCTTAAATGGTATTGCTGGTATGTTAAGATATGTTTGTGACCTTGTATAAACCCTATGCCCCGTCCTGCGCCCCGAGACCCTCAGAGGCATCACTGCTGG